GGAGAGGGAGAGGGAGAGGGAGAGGGGGGGGGGGGGAACCCTCTTTTTAAAAAAAAAAGAGGAGGAGGAGGAGGAAAACGAAGAGGAGGAGGAGGAGGAGGAGGAGGAGGAGAAGGAAGGCTTCAAAGCAGCAAAAGGGTTCTCCCCACCCAGAGGCAGCCGCTGTCTCCAGAGCCTTGCAAATATTCCGTTTGCCAGAGACCCCTCCCTCGGGCCCCCAAGCGCCTTGGGAACAAAAGATCAGAGTTCGTCCATCTCTCCGTGTACATAGAGGAACCCAAGGTGGTAATCAACCTTTTCTTATTGTATAGAAATTGGGCCACTTTGTGAACTATGGATTGCTTTTCTTTTATCATCAATTCCTCACCCAGAGCTCTTTCTGCCTCCTGAACATCCTTCCTTTCTCTTCTCTTCTCTTCTCTTCTCTTCTCTTCTCTTCTCTTCTCTTCTCTTCTCATCTCTTCTCTGCTCCCCGCCCCTCCCCTCCCCACCCCTCCCCTCCCCATTTTTGAATTCACCAATTTTAAAAGGGGAGAAGGAAAATAACATGAAAGCAAAAGGTTTTTCCCCCTGTAATTGTGGTATTGAATATTGTGTTCCTTTGAAAAGAGGCAACTTTGATTGTAAACTTCATTCAAATATAGACCTGAAAGATTTTTAAAAAGTGCCAAAGTCTCCATGTTGTTTTCAGAAGGACCCAGATCAATTTCCCCTCTTCTCCCAACGCTTGTGAATGTATTTTCTGTTAGCTGGGTTTACATGTGATGTTTTAGTGCTTTTTGCAAGTTCGATTTGTTAGTTCCTGTTTGGAAATTTGTGGGGGGTGGGGTGGGGGAGAAATAAACGTAGTGCTGTTAGGGATTTTTTTTCGTAATAACACCCTTCCTTGTGTAAATACCTGTTGCCATATTTATCCATTTGTAATTAAATTATGGTATTAACTTGCTACAGAGGAAACAGTATTTATAAAGAATGTTTCTTAACTATAAATATGTACAATTGTGAGCATAAACTGTTTCAGAATTTTTTTATTTGGAGGTTTATGTGGTTTCATCATTTCTTGTGATTTTTTTGAGAGTAATGCATACAGAAATATAATAAAATGTGTTGAAACTGCAGTCCATGATATTTTTAATCCACATATATCTTTATCCTGGTAAATTAAAAGTGTTCCTAGTTGGTTAGAGTGTGTGAGGCTGTCTATTAAGTTCATTTTTAAAATCAATTAAAATCAATCGTAAGTGTCGAAATTATACAAAAGAAATACTGCTGGTTTCTTTTTATTTTTTAATTATAACATTCATTTTACATGTCAAAAGCTCAAATAGTTTAACCTTTCCCCAGAGTTGCAGGCTGAAACTGCATATGTATATTTACCTGAGAGTAAGTCACAATGAGCACAGAAAGTCTTAGTGCTCAATAAACATGCTTAGGGTTGCCTTGCACAAAACTTGGGTAAGGCCCCTGGGCTTACCAAGCCGTCTGAGTGCCATCTCAGCAGAGAAGTTAGCATGTGTTTCACTTCTCACCCTTTGGAAATGAACTGGAGTTAAGAGTGCACAGAAGTTTGAATGGCTCCTATCTGTTAATTGAAATATAGTGAAATTCATTTGTTTCAGTTTTATACTCCTCCAGAGTCTAGACTAGTAATATCTGAACTGCTAGTCTCTTGGTTTTTAAAAACATAATACTCGTGCATTTGTTCTAAGAAGACCCCCATCTTCTTGAAGTGGTGAGTTTTCTGAGTTGCTTTTTATACTTTTACATGATAATTAATGTCTAATGAAGCCAACTCCTTGGCCTGTTGGTTTATTTATTTATTTTTAAATGATAGACCTAGGTTCTTGCTATTTCTAAGTAAAATTGAGGACTTCTGACATCATTCCAACAGAATCATTTCTTTTTTCTTTATTATTCTTATTTTAAATTATCTACTAATTGGAAGTTAACATTTATTCTTGCTGGGGATATTAAGTGCATGCGCTTTACCACAAGAACAAGTGGTTAGCTGTAATGACCAAGAAGAATACTGAAAATGTATTTGAATTCATATGCTGGAGTATCTATAACCACCTTCAATTTATCAGTATAAGATATAAAATCCTATTCCACATGAGTGGAAATTTAAAGGTGCTTTTTCCCCTTTTAAATAACATCCTAAATCCACTTTCGCTTAGATGCTAGGCTTTGGTGAGGCTAAATGCGTTTCATCCTCCGGATCTGAATTATGAAATTCTTGCTCAGGCAAGCAAACCTGCCTTTTAAAAGCATCTTTCGAAGAATCTGGAGTGGAACTGGGCTGGACAGCTTGAAATCTTCGAAAGCCTGGCCTTTGCCCAAAGCCACCGAATGCCAACCACCTGGACACTGAAATCAGCCACGCAGTCCCCTCCCTTTCCTAAGCCCTGCAGAGTTCTGCTCCTGGAGTGTGGTGACGGCTTCTCCAAGAGGCCCAACAACCTCGCAAAAGACGCGCTAAAAGACACAGCGCTGCGCTGCTTTTTCTGGTTCTCTGCTCCAGGTTGTTCGTGAGGTGACCCCATTCACCCGTGGCAAGAAAGAGAAGAGGCAGAGCTGGAATCCTAGGCCTACCGATTTGCTTGAGAGTAAAGGCCTACCTAGCTCAGCTGGGACTTGGCTTCTCTGCCGGCTTTTTGTAAGGATTTCATCTTTATGGGAGCGGGGAGGTGAAGGTAGAAACCCAACTTTCTGCATGGAAAGTGAAGTCCGGATATAATACACACACACATACACACACACACACACACACACACACTCATTTCCCGTCTCCTGTTCCGGTAGCCACCCTAGCTTCATTCCCACCTTGAGTCTCTGCTCTCGGGTGCTGGCTCCGTTTGTTCGTATTCATTCATTCTCGGGTGCGCAATGCAAAAAACCCTGAAATAATCAAATGAATGTTAAAACCTCATTTTCCTCTCTTAATCATATTAGGGCGACCGTCCGTCTCTTCCTCCTTCCCCAGTTTTAGTAAAATAATTAGCATATGACGCTGAGCCCTAGGAGAATCCACAATCCTTACAAAAAGCCGGCAGAGAAGCCAAGTCCCAGCTGAGCTAGGTAGGCCTTTACAATCCTTACAAAAAGCCGGCAGAGAAGCCAAGTCCCAGCTGAGCTAGGTAGGCCTTTACAATCCTTACAAAAAGCCGGCAGAGAAGCCAAGTCCCAGCTGAGCTAGGTAGGCCTTTACAATCCTTACAAAAAGCCGGCAGAGAAGCCAAGTCCCAGCTGAGCTAGGTAGGCCTTTACAATCCTTACAAAAAGCCGGCAGAGAAGCCAAGTCCCAGCTGAGCTAGGTAGGCCTTTACCCCCGGGAGGGGAAGGGAGAAAGAGGGGCCCCGTGCGCCCCTCCCCTCCACTGCCCCATTCATCTGGGTCAGCCCTGAACTTGAACTTGAGCTGACCTTGGCCTCCCCGGCCTCCGCTTTCCCAAGGCCGGCCGGGACTGGATTTCGGGGGGGGGGGTCGCCTAGGTGCAGAAAGAGAGCGCGGAGCGACGAGGCCGAGGTCTTAGTTGAGGAAAAGGTTGCTCGCAGGCGCACGGAACAGTCCAGAGACGTTCTCAGTGCTGGTGCCTCCGGAATAATGCCCGAGGGAACACAGGCTTAGCGGGTATAATAGAGCGCCTTGTGAAGAATAGAGCGCAAATGACCTTCAAGGCGAGGCTTGAAAGACTCCGGCCTCCAACGCGCACACGCACACACACCGTTCCGAGCTTGGGGACTTTTATCCGCGTCTGAGCTGGCGAGCTAAAGCCACCGTCTAAATGGCTGTGAGATCAATCTGAGGGCCTTCTCCGAGGCCACAGTCGCTCAAATTAACCCAGGAGAGCTGTGTGGCAGCTACTCCCAGATAGCGCTGGAGTGCATTGGGGTCAGGATGAAGTGACAGCGCAGGGACTCCCAGTAGGAGCAGAAACCTGTGGATGAAAATGGTCGGGCTGCATCATTTCCCGCAACCACTTCCCTGCTCGTATGCTGCCCTGGATGCATTATTCCGGTTTGGCTTGGTTTGGTCAAGGTTTTTCCCGGTTTACTGTAGTTCCTTTTTTGCCTGATACTAGTGATGGTGAGGGTATTTAATTATCCAGCAGCCCGGAGTAGTTTAGTCCTACTACTCTTTAGTGGTACGTCTCCTATGTTGTAGTGATAGTCAACGACGCAGCAGTAGTAGTTTGATGCATGTTTCGCAGCAGTAGAGTTCTCCTCTCTGAAAGGAAGCCAAAAACAGGTCGTGGGCCATTTACTCACCAGCATCTTATACAGTCATACAACCTTCGCTGGGCCCGTCTATCAGTAATTTAAACTGACCTTATATTGCTACACAAATAGCCACAGAAGATACCAGAAATCACCGGTAAAAAATAGCCCAAGACATTCAGGTATACGCCCAACCTTCCTTGGGTTTTGAGTGATGTTTTTCTTATTCTGAAAGGACAAAAAAGAGATTTCCTTCTTCAGACCCCCCCCCCTCCAGGTAATCCATAGATCAGTCCTTGGAGCTATAGGTCAACTGTGT